ATTTACTTCTAGCTTTTCTCTCCACTGAGCTTCCTGATTAATCATAGGTCAGGAAATCCTATTTCTGGCAAGGATGTCAGTTCTTTCTTCCAACTACCAATTATTTACTGTCACCTACTATTTATCAGGACAGTGGAAATGAACATGAACAAAACTAGACAGAATTCTTACCATTCTGGAGCTTGCAGTCTAATGGTAGAAATAGATTATTAATCAAATAACTACACAAATAAATGTAAAACCTCAAATGTGAAGGAACATGCTATATAGCCTGTAAGAGTGAGATTTCTATTCAAGCTTGTCTGAGACAGTGATACTTTAGATCAGACACACATGAATTGGGCTTGACTGGGAAAAACCAGAAGAGGTGCACAGGCGTTAAGAGGAAGTCAGTAAACATGACATACTCAAAGAAGACAACTGTGGCCGAAGTGACAGTGGGACGTGCCCTAAAGCTGACAAGACAGACATAAATGGATTCTATAAATCATAACAAAAGATTACCATTACACTAAAAACCAAAGCATTTTACAAAGGGTGGTTTATACTTTGTAACAATCATTCTCCTTAAATAGACATGGGTAGAAAACCAGGGGTGGGGGTGAAATGAACTTCCACATGGTGGTAGAGATAAATGCACCAGGACAGGTGCTTTGGTGGTGCATGCTACTGCACTTCCCAGAAACTCAGATTGATTCTCATTTTCAATGAATGTCAGTGGTTATTTTCTCTGGAGTCAATAATAAAACAAAAGAAATAAATAAATCTCATGTGTACAGATCCTATTTAGATAGGTTTAAGGAATCTTCTTTCTTGAAATGGGGTCTCTCTGTGTTGCCCAGGCTAATCTTAAACTCAAGGGTTGAAGTGAGCCTGCTATCTCTGCCTCTTGAATAGCTAATACCAGGGAGTTAAAGGAATCTTGGTTTAACAAATCACAGACCCATTGGTAGAAATTACCAATATACATTAGCACTAGAGAGAAGCCATAGTGTTGTTTTAAAAGTGACTGAAAGCAACTAGATATATATGGCAGAATTATTGTCATGCAAACCACTGATATGATGGGTAAGTCAATGATGGTGTGAGCCATACCTACCTCTCGATTTACTATTTGTAGTAGAGCCTCTCTTCTACTAAAATCCTTCACTAAAATAAATAATATGATGTTCCCTAATAGGACTGTGCAGTGAGACAATCTAAATGATCAGCAAAGAAAATCGAGACAGTATTTTCTTCTATTTTTCCAAAAGGCAAGTGGTTTTATAGTTGTTATAAAAACTTCACACATTCATTTAAAAACAATTTGAACACACAAAGTATAAACAGAAAGTAATAACTGCAAAAATCCTAACAGCAAAATTATTGGTAACATTTTGAGTCATTTATCTTTGTGTACACCTGTACATAAATGTATAATGAGAATTCATACATGCATTTTCAAAGTACAAGATTTATAATTATTTTTCTAAGCTAAAAATATTAACATCCAATTAGCATCTTGGTCAGGCACTACACTGGTTGCCTGGAGTACAATGGTGAACAAAAGCAATATAGTGTAGCTCAAAGGATTTTAAAAGGAAGGCAGACAACAATAAATCGGAACAAGTGCTACAAGAGCAGACATGAGGTAGCTGAGAGTATTTTATCTATTCCAAAGAGACAGGCACAAGGAAAGGGGGAAGCAAGAGTAAAATACTGTGAACTGAAGTGGACTGAAGCAGAAGAAATTTCTAGGCAAAGGGAATGTCATGTGGAAGGCCTGGACAGACTCAAGGAGCTGAAGAACTGAATTGGAGGGCATCATGAGAAATTGGGACAGTGTAAAGCACTGGTAGAAGAGTAAGCAATATAAAGAATCTGGATTCTATTCCATGAGTATTGATTGAGTAGTCACTGAAAGATTTAAAAAGTGATACAATCAGATTTCTATTTTAGAAGGATTATTTTGATTATAAGATGTTGGTACACTAAAAAAGGAAAGGCTGAAACAAAAGTTAGATATTTGATAAACAGCTATAAATTGATTAATTAATAATTAATTAATTTTTACAGTCCTGGGAATTCAACCCAGGACCTTAGCACTGAGCTACATGCCCAGGCCCTGTTAGTTTTGTTTCTTTGGTACTTGGGATTGAACTCAGGCCCTTGCACTTGTGAGGCATATGCGGCAGAGCCATTGAGCCAAATCCCTGGTCCCCCTTTTCGTTTTTTAAAAAAATTTGAGAGAGGGTCTCTACATTTGCCCAGACTGGGCTTGAGCTTATGATCTTCTCCCTCAGTCTCCCAAGAATGCTGTGATTACAGTGAGTCCTTGACTTATGAACATTCAAATTGTGATCTTTCACACCATCAGCTGTGTAAGACACACCATCAGCTTGTGATCAAATCAGACTAATAATTCTCCTGGAATGGAATGTGTTCATAAGATGGGGACTTATTACATGGCAAGCATAACATGCCTGGCCAGTTTCTCATTTTTAACATTTGCATGGAATACTATGTAGGGTTCCATGAGGCCAGGGAACAGATCTAAATACTAAAACAGAAACACAATCTACCAGAAGATAAAATGGTACAACTCTGAAAGACACAAGCATAAGCAGGAACTTTCTAAACAGAGCCCTAAAAGCACAAGGAATACTGTCAACAGATGGGATCATGTCAAATTAAAAAGCTTCTGTACAGCAAAAGATACAGCCAACAGAAGGAAGATACACCTACAGAATGGGGAAAACTTTTTGCCAGCTATGCCATGGACAGAGGACTAATAAGAATACATGAAGATCTAAAAAAAATTAGACACCCCAAATAAAATGAATAGACATGTCTCAGGAGAAGTACAAATGGCCAATAATCACATGAAAAAAATGCTCATCATTGCTGGCTGCATATTAAAAGTACACTGAGGCTAGGTATAGTAGTGAATGCTTGTAATCTTAGCACCAGGGAGGCTGAGGCAAGAAGATGGCTGTGAGTCCAGGCCAGGCTGGACTATATAGTGAGACTGTCTCAGAAGCAAAACAAACAAACCTACAATGATATACATCTTACCCCAGAAAAAAATGGCTAACAACCCCTCCAAGAAAAACAAAAACAAAAACAAAGAAGAAATATAATAAATGCTGGCGAGGATGTGGAGTAAAAGTAACACTAATACATTGTTGGTGGGAATATAAACTAGAACCACTACAAAAATCATTGTGGAAATTCCTCAAAAACTAAAACTTGAAATTCTATTTGACCCAGTTATCCCCCTCAGAGGTATCTTCCCAAACAGTTAAAATCATCATATTACAGAATACACACATACTTATGTTCATAGCAGCATGATTTATAATAGCTAGATGTTGGAAACAGTGTATAAGTCCATCAATAAATGAATGGATAAGGAAACTGATATGTCTACATAATGGAGTACTATGCGGCAATAAAGAAAAACGGGAGACATTTGTAGGTAAATTATTATCATCTTTTTTTTTGGTACCAGGGATCAAACTTGGCACCTTCCACTTGTGAGGCAGATTTATAGGTAAATAAATGTAAATTGAGAACATGCTAAGTGAAATGTCAGACACATAAGCTCAAACATTGCATAGTTTTTCTTATATGAGAAACATTATCTAAATGAATGAATGTCTGTCTGTCTGTCTATCTATCTCCCTGACTCATGAACATTTGAGTTGTGAACTTTCACAGGTGTGCTTATGAGATTCACAGCTGTACTGTATAAGATTCACTTTGTCAGATTTGAGTGAATCTGACAACATTTTCCTGGAATGGAACTCATTTGTAAGTCTGGGACTTACTGCACACACAAATAAAGAGCAAAATAGAAGAAAGATAAATAGGAAGTAGGGAGAAGTTCAAATAATTTCCCAAATTAAAAATTCTACTGCTTTAAAAATATTTCAATATATGTGCTATATAGTAAGTTTGAGGCTAGCGTGACCTATAATGAGACCCTGTCTTAAAAAAAAAGTGCTATTTTGCTTCATTTATACTGCTAGTTTATCTTTGTTGAAAAGAAAGTTTTGTGGTATTATCTGTTTCTTTTTGGATTATATCTTGTACTCTGAGTAACTACTTTGAAGATTAACAATACACACTGTAATAACTACTGTTATTTTATTACTTATGAAAATTTTTCATAAAATTAAAAAAATATAGTATTTTTATGCTGATGACAGGAAAGTTAAGGCCAAATTAGTGAAATTCTATTTTTAAAAATAATCACTCACTTAAAACATAAAACTTCATTGTAGGAGATGTGGGGAACATAGGACACCCCAACGAAAAGTTCTGTCATATTAAGTTGTATTTTAAAAGAACTCTTAATAAAAAAAAAAGGTAGCAATTTCTAACAATGGCTAAAAATAGATGCTAAAAATAATGTGCTATATTGTTTTTAAATGAACATTAGAATTATTTTTTAACAAGATTTAAATTTCTAGATATATGTAATCTTGAAATATAATAGAAAATAAGAACTATAACAAAGTCCTTATGATAATTTTTTAAAAAACAAAAATGTACAGAATAACTTAGAGAAATAGCATACCTATTCAGTGCCAGGAATAACTAAGTCACATCACTGCCCAGAACCACTACAAGCCATTATTGTAGGGACAATCTGCTGGGCTGTCTCCGATCAAAGGAGAGAGAGCAACATGGCCGAGACAGGGAACACTTCCTATAGGAGATGGGTGGGACTGAGTGATGTAGTTAGCCAAACTGTGTTTTTAAAAACTTACACTAATTGTTTTAGATTAACCCAGACATACAATCTAGAGCTCTAAAAATAAATTTACAGAATTTGACAGCATTACAGCTAATCCATAATAGAGGGGGAAAAAAGCATTTTGGTACTGAATGTTTCTGGATATACTCATCCTAAGGAAATAGTTAAGATTTAAAGATCATTTTTAGAACCATTCTCTTCCATACTCCTTTTTGAGTATTTAAAGCACTGATTTAAAAATATAATAGAATTGATTTACCTGACTACCAGAAGTTGCCACGTTGACCTCTGCCACTCCTTGACCTTCATTCTGCCGCTCAGCCTCGTGTAAGCCAGTTTCGTGTTTGTTCTGAGATGACCTCTGCTAAGACAGAGTTAACGTCATTACAAAAATCATGTTCGCTTTCTTAGCCCTCAGCTTGTTTTCTTTTTTGTTTTAAAGCTCTGAATGCATCAATTATCCAGGCTGACAAAGGCATGGAAACCACACGTTACACTTCATAACCTCCAGCGTGTCTAGCAGTCGACTCCCTCAGTAAGAGGAAAGTGAAGTGTGTCCCTTGAGCATTAGAGCTGCACAAGACAAAGGATTTTCTGAGACTCACAGAAACACCATCCTCCACCAGCTGTGCTCGCATCACTATTAGGAATAAAACCCAATGAGACCAAGTAACTGTCTTTTCGCAAAATCACACAATTCTGGCATTTAATGGAGCTGCAAACACAATTAAACTATGGTTTAAGCTTACAAATACCTTCTGTGTAGGCATATTTATACATAGAATACGTACACATTTTCTGTTAGTAAAAGTCACGTGAAACCAAATGACAAGCTCTTAGATTCTAATAATGAACAAAACTAAAAACCATTCTAATGCAACCACCATCTGCTATAAGAAATGAAAGATTATATCTAGTAAAAGCAGTCATTAAAGCAGTCACTCCATAAAAGCTTCATTGTAGAGCCAAAAAATAAAACAAATTTCTATTATCTTATACAGAAGCCCTTATGTGCTTGCTCTAGAAAAATGATAGTCTAAAATAAACTTTACACTTCAAAATTTGACATAATAGTAGGTAATTACACAAAATGGCTTCTGTCTGGAGTTTCTTTAACCATCAAGCTTTCCTGAACCTTTTAAAATATGACTTAAAAACTAATTTACGTGCAACATTTCTATCAATGTTGTAGTTACATGAAAACAAAAGTGGGGTAGCACCCAATAATTCAAAAACAGAAGAAAAAAACAGCATCACCTGAAATTCATACTGTGAAAATCAAAGAAAATCAATGAGTGGAAATATATAAACTCAACAGAGACAAAATGAAACAAAGACTACTACAAGATGTGACACTAACACAAGAGATGTCAAAATATTTAAAGAAAGAATAATTACTGACTATTTGCCTTGGTCAGTTACTTGTTGTAGGTGTTGGGCGGGGCTACAGTGCTAGCAAAACCAGACATTGTTCTATGTTTTCTAAGCTTATAGTCTATTAAAAAATGTAAAAAGTGTACAGTCCATTTATACTATCAAATAATGAGAAAACAGCAAAAGTTAAAACAGACAAGTGCTATAAAAGAGGAGTATAAGGCACTATAAGAATAAGTAACAGGGATTTGACATGGACTGGGGTTTGGGAAAGAGCTGTGTTAGGATGTGCCATTTAAATAGAGAACTCAAGAATAGTTAACCAGAACAAGGTGGAGGAACAGAGAAAGAGCACTCTGAGAGGGGAGAAAATGTGGCATGTTGCAGTAAATGAAAGAATTACAAGCCACAGTTGGTGGTGCACACCTGCCATCTCAGCACTGTTGGAGACTGAGGCAAGGGGACTGCAAACTCAAGCCCAGCTTAGGCAACTTTATAAGAACCTGTCTCAAAAGTTGAAATGGGATGGGATGTAGCTCAGTCAAAGGCTTTGCACTGGGGGGTGGTGAATTATGATGTGGTTGGAGCAGTAAGGGGGGAAAGTAAGATGGTGTAAAAAAACAAAAAACAAACACACAAAGAACACTTACTGATTTTGTTGAATTTGAGTGCGACCAGAAGGTACTCTTGCTTTTTTTAAATTAAAATGAGGCCACCACATTATTGCCCCACATAATTAATACTAATATATCAGTAGCATGTAAATTGACATGTCAAATTTTAAATGGTATAAATCAGGCAGGAAACATAGAGGAAAGCAGTTAGAAGGCTAAGGTATTAACCCATCTAAATGAGAGATGATGATATTTTGGGAAAGGTAAACAGGAATACAGGAGTACAAAAACTAGAGTCCAGTAGTCTGGGAGGCTAAGGCAGGAGGATAACAAGTTTGAGCCCAGGTTGGGCAACTCAGAACAAGATCCTGTTTCAAAAAAAAAAAAAAAAAAAAAATTAAAGGGCTGAAGATATATCTTAGTGAGAAGGCCCTGGGTTCAATTCCCAGGATCACCACCATTACCAAAAGAAAAAAGAAAAAAAAGAAAGCCTCAGAGGTAGATCTGATAGGGTCTGGTGCTACACTGGCTAAGAGGAGTGACAAGAAATTTGTTGTCAAACAATTCAACAATGAAGGTACTCTTCACAGAGACCGGTAAGACTGAAGAAGGATGAAAGTTTTAGAAGGGTGGTTGATAAAGAGGGCTTAGGAGTATATTAGGTAATTAACTATAATTTGGATATGTTGTATTTTCTGACACACTGATGCAGAGGTATTGAGTAGAAACATAAATTTAGAAATCTGGAACTTAGGGCTAGAAAAACAAATTTGAGACCCAATAGCATAGATAACTGAAACTCTAAGCATAAATTGGACTGTCTTAGGCAAAGAGGATAGAGAGAAAAAAGAAGCCTTAAGGAATGCCTACAATGAATGTCCAGGTAAAAGACAGGCCTATAAAAATCAAAGAGGTGGGGAGAAACCAAAAAGTGACTTAAGTAATCCTCATACTAACCCTCTGAAGTACTGTTATTGTCTCCATTTTGCAGTTAAGAAACAGAGGCATGAAGAATATTAATAACAGGTTTCCAGTTATGCATCTCGTAAATGGTACAGCCAGAACTGGAATTACAACTCAGTCTGACTCCAGAACCCAATCTACTGTTTAATTCTTCCTCCTTCTTTCCTTAATTGCTTCCCTTTCTTTTTCCATTATCTCAAGGCTATTGGCCCACATATATTCTTGGATCAATGTATAAAATTTCTACTAATATTAGAGACAAAAGAGACAGTTGTTGGTTCCTATGGAAGAAAAATTCGAGTTTCTTCATTGCCATATTTGCTGTAAAACTTCTACAAGGTTTTCTACTCTAGGAGAGATAGGACTGGGCAAAATTTTTTAAAAACAATTTTGTTGAGGTATTTATGTATCATTAAAATTATACATTCTAAGTGCAAATTAAGTAATTTTCAGTAAAATGACCAAGCATCATCATAATCCAGTTTTAGAACACTTTCATCATTTTAGTAAGATCCTTCCTGCCCACTTACAGTTAGTTAGTCCTTATTTCCCGTCACAGTTCTAGGCAGCCATTGATCAATTTTCTGTCTTTATAGATTTGTGTTTTCTTAACATCTCATAAAAATGACTTTATGTTTCTGGTTTATTTTACTTAGCAGGCTTTTAAGGTTCATCCACATTATACTATGTGCCAAAAATTTATTGCTTTTTATTGCAGAACAGTGTCCCATTGTAAGAATATATCATATTTTGTCTACAGACATTTGCACTGTTTTCAATTTTGGGGCACAATGAATAAGCCTGCTATGCACATCCAAGTTAAAGTCATTGTGTGGACCTATTTTCTTGTCATTTCTCTTAGATACCTGAATGTGACTGCTGGGTCACCATGGTAATTCTTTAATATTCTGAGGAACCGCCAAATCTGTTTTGCAAGTGGTTGCACATTTTTATGTCCCTCAATACAAAAAACACAAACAAGTCCCCAACCTGAAATAAACTTGTATTAGTGCTGAAAATGAAGAGTACATGTCCAGATTCCATCAGGAGAGAGCATGCAATCTCTGTGCATCTCCAAACCCTTTCCCTTCCCTGGAGATTGTCCCAGGTGTCTCATTTGGCTTTTCCTGATCTGTCCTCTTATACTACAATTATAATCCTAAGTGTAGAGCTTTCAATGAGTTCTGGTCATTCTACTGAATTAAAATTTCAGGTGGTTGTGGAACGCCCTACATTTGTAATCTTCAAGACAGAAGTGTGGGTGAATTGGGGACAACCAAAACTAATCATTAGCATCTGAGTTGGGGGCAGCCTTTAGAACGCTGCCTTTGATCTGCAGGGTCTGTGCTAACTCTGGTTAGGTTGTACTGCAGTATACCCACTTGGAATTTATAGTCAGCTAGCAGAAGAGTGGATCGCTTGGAAACACTTGAAACTTGTGGGGTTCTAGCTAGATATGGGGCACACACCTGTAATCCAAGCTAACTGGGAGGCTGAGGGAGAAGGATTGCAAATTTGCCTTGGCAACTTAGTTAGACCTTATCTCAAAATGAAAAATAATAAGGGCTAGGGTAGAGAGTTCAATAGTAGAATGCTCCTTGATTTGATTTCCAATATCACAAAAATAAAAATACTTGTGGGGGCTAATACTAAATCCAGGTGGGTTAAGATCAAAATTGAAATGAATTGGCAGACATAATGATGTCAAAGATCTGGTGTCAAAATATAGTACATGGAAATAATTTTCTTTCAAAAGTTTAAAGAAATTGCTACCCTAGTTTCCATCTTCCAGTATTGACTTTTTAAAGTCTAAACTTATTTATATTCTTCTTCCTTTGTGTGAAAATTTGTTTCACCTTTCTTCTCCAGGTATTTTCCTTTTATCCTCAGTGATATGAATTTCATCATAATGCGCCTTATTGTGGGATTATTTTCACCTGTGGTAACAAATATTAGAAAGACCTTTTTATTTAGAAAACTATGCATCTTGGTTCTAGGAAACTTTAATTTGTTTTATATGATGGACTCTACCTCTATAGTTAAAAATTTTTTTTTTCTGTAGCTCCTTTCATTTGGATATAAAATATTCCTAGGATGATTCTGATTTTATTTTTTCTCTTGTCTTTTTGTTCTATTTTCTGAGAAATTTATCTTTCAACCTTTTTATATTGAGCTTTTCTGTTTCTATTATAATTTTTTTTTGGTACTAGGGATCGAACTCGGGTCCTTGTGTTTGCGAGGCAGGTGCCAGAACCACTGAGCTAAATCCCTAGCCCCTGTATGTTTCTTTTGAGACAAGGTCTTGCTGTGTAGTTCAGATCAGCCTCCAACTCACTATGTAGCCCAGGCTGGCCTCAAACTCTGGCAATCCCCCTGCCTCTGACTTCTGAGTGTTGGGATTATAGGTGTGTGTCATCATGCCTGGCACTCTTTTTTTTTTTTGTTATTGTTTGGCACTCTCTTTTTAGGTTAGACATATTTCTTAGAGAAATTCCTTTCAGAAACTGGCTTAGTGATGACAAGCCTGGATGCCAGTGGGAGTTCCAGCATTTAGTAAAATTTCTATCTACTTCAGTTTGATATATGGTGTCACCAACTTAAATTAGGCTTACCACTAACTAAAGACCCTCATTCTTTCGAAGGAAAAAAATTGCTCATTTTTCCTAAGGATTGGAAAGCAGCATTCACCCAGCTATGTAGAAGTTCTAGAGGTTTCATCTGCTTCTTAAAACAGATTTTTCAACCACAGTGTTTTTAGGTCCTCCCCACTTTACATCCAGCTACTAGCATAGCTTATACTGGAACCTTTTGGGATGCCATAATATACACTGGGGTGCTTCAGGATTTTTTTTAATTGTTGATTTAGGGATCAATTCTCTACAACATGCGATAATAGTTACATTTTGTATACCTGCCTTCCAGCTCCCCAAATTTTATTACTGTTACCTTTGTGTCTTTTTCATTTTATTTTTTTAATTATCATTTTAATGGGGTTTGTGGAGTAAGAAAAGGTAAATGTTTATGATCAATTTTTACTATGGATTATATAGAAGGAAAAAGCTGGATTGTGACAGCTAAATTCATTATTTGACTATATGTGAACTGGAAGCTGATGTGAAGTATTTATATTGATGGCTCCACAAATTTTAAGTGCATATTATAAAAAATCAAAATAGCCAAGGATTTTGATAATATAATTCCATGAAAAAATTATAAAGTGCCTTGAATCTCTAGAAGAATATCCATATTTCAATGATGCCATGTTACTTATCTTCTTTCCTAAAAGTAACTACATATATATTTGTATACACACACACACACACACACACACACACACACACACACACACACACACACACACATTTCCTAAGTAACTCTATATATATATGTATACACACACACACACACACACACACACACACACACACACACACACACACACCCGTATTTTTTTAGACAGGGTCTCTATGTAGTTCAGGCTAACCTTGAGCTCACTATGTAGCTGAGACTGGCCTCAAACTTGCAGTGATCCCCCGGCCTCAGCCTCCTGAGTGCTGGGATTACAGGCGTGCGCTCATCTACCTATATTCATACACAAACAAAAAGGCAGTGTACTAACCTCTGCTTCTGTTGCTTGGGACTGTAAAAGTTGTCGTATACGAAGTATGTCCTTTTCTATTTGCTGAATTCTGGCTATTCTTCGCTAAAATAAGATAGGAGACCAAATTAGGTAAATTTTATTAAAAACATTAGTGTTTTTAATGAACACTAATAATTAAAATAAAATACATTATTCATACATAATAATCCTATGATATCACTTAATAGCTCAGATTTATACCAAGCCACTCTCCTGTAAGAAATACACACACACACACACACACACACACACACACACACACACACACGAATGACAAATTGCAGTTAATTCAATTTTTAATATATTGAACTTTATGTAATAGGTCTCTAGATATGCTCAGTAAAACTGCACAAATACAAGTCATATATCAAATTTCATGGTACATATATTATGGAAATCAGTATTTAAAAGTTATTCTCAGGGCTAAGGGTGTAATTTAGTGGTACAGTCCAGGTTTAGGATGTGAAAGGCCTTAGGTTCCATTCTCAACAATGCTTCCAAAAGTTATTCTCAAATATATTTCAAGAAAGTGAAAATTACACCTGAATTTAATCTTTTATATAAATCTAAGTATTAAGATACAGGAAAAGAATATCTGATTTGTTACCATATCAGGGTTTAAACAGTAGAATACCTAAAGTTACTTCTGTTATGAGTAAGTATTTTTCAGACTTTTTAAATATCTACTTTAGCTAAACATTACTTTTATTTCCAATGAAAGATCATGAAGATGGCACAGCTTTTGCTTTCCCACTATAGGAAGACCATCAAATGGCCACTAAGCAGTAAATGCAGACTGATAATGTGGAGTTGAAACAATGTGGGAAAAGTGTTTTTAAAATGTTAAATGTTTTTTGTAATAATTTTATATTTGAAATCCTAATGTTGAAGTATCAAAAACTATATTATAAACATAATTGTTTCAATAAGGAATAGTAATATTAGAAGTTGGTTTTCAAACTTTTTCTGGTTACCTGTTCCACCAATAAAAGATATCTGAGCATAAATTTGGTTACAACAATAAAAAGGACATAAAGACCTAAATGAACGGAGATATAAAATTAATAACAATACTTAATATTTACTGCACGTTTTCTATGTGCCAGGTTCTAAGTGCTTTTACATGTATTAATTCATTTAATCCTTATATTTTATAATTTATCATTATCTGTATTCTATTAATAAGAAAACAGAGGCAGAGTTTGCCCAGATCATAATGCTGGTCAGGTCTGGGATCTGAAGCATGAGGTCTTGCTCCAAGTTCATCTTTTCAACTGAGCAGGCTCGATAATGCAAAGGTATGACTTCTTAACAACTATAAAAACTGAATGGTATCCTAACAAAAAGCACATAAAACTTTTAAAAAAATTAAACAAGCTGATATAATTAAATTTTCAATGAAAGAATAATGCAGCAGAATACAAGATTATTAAAAAAATAAGGACTCATTCTACCAGGTGCTAAGATTTATAAAACTTAACAGCAAAGAAAGCAAATGTGGGATTAGTGTGGCTACAGAGAAACTACAATTGATCAAGGCAACAGAGCGTAGAAATAGTCACATAAATAAACTTGGCACACAACAGAGATAGCATTTCTAATCATCAGGGAAGTAGTTCAGTATCCAATAAATTATATGGAGAAATTTAGTTGACAAAAGAAATATTTTGCATGTCTGTAATGTATGTGGATACATACATAACACACACATGAAGTCAGATGTGTGGATATACATGTGTGTATGTAGGTATGCATGTGAGTGTACTTATACATAATTACATCCCTACCTCCATAATATATATAATAGCAAATTCAAGATGAATTAAAGACCTAATTATAAAAATACAACTTGATAATTGTTAGAAATAGATTACCTTGAGTACTTCAGAATATGGAAAGACTATTAATAGGTCACAGGAAACACAACTCTGACAATTTAGCCTTAAAAAAAGCTAATTTTTCTTATAATAAAGTTTAGAGAACAGATCTGCAGTTGTGATATAGGTTTAGTATTAAGATATTAAAGCATCTCTCAAATTCAGAAGAATAAGACACTAAGCACAACAGAAAACAGGCAAAGGATCTGACTGAACAAGTAATTTAACAGAAAGAAACTCAAAGTCTAATAAATATATTATTCCACTTCACTAATATTCAAGGAAATGGCAGAATGTTTCATACCCACTAATTTTTAATTATAAAGTCTGACTCATGAGTGCTGGAGAAGACACATAAAAATGAAAATTCTTGCTTAGTTCTAGCAGAAACATAGGCAATAAGATCATCATGACAGCACTTTGGTAAAAACTAGTTCAAATCATTCCTACCAGCAACTATCAGCACTTACCCTTCTAAGGTCTATTCCCTAGAGGAGAGGTCAGCAGACCCGGGCCTGCTACCCAGGCATTTGTTCATATAAATTACATTTTATTAAAATACAACCATGATTATATATTCATACATGGCCTAGGGTTACTTTCTTAATATAAAGTAGAGCTGAGGAGCTGCAACAGAGACAGTATGCTTTATAAAGCCTAAGCTATTTCTATGTAGCTTTTTAGGAGAAAGCTTGCTGTCTCCTGAGCTAGAGAAATTTTTGTATATGTTTATTTACGAGACATCAGGAAGTATGTTTATCAGAGTTTGTTAACTGAAAAATTAGAAATAATCTAAATGTCCATGAACTAGGGAATGGATAAACTACTGTATTACCAAATATAACTTCAAAACAAAATTATGGCAGCACTGAAGTCTCAATAACCTTCACCTCACCAATCTTCATCCTCAAGCTCTAATAACAACTTGATGTGCACTTTCCAAACTATGTTTACATGTCTATGGAAGAATAAATACCACCATTCTAGAGGACTAAATAATGTTTTTTTAAAAAAATTTTGATACCGGGGATCGAACTCAGGTCCTTGTGCTTGTGAGGCAGGCAGCAGAACCACTGAGCTAAATCCGCAGTCCTGGAGGACTAAATAATGTGAACAACAAAAATAACCAACTAAATCATTCACAGAGGTAGCTGGGCTGATAATCTCATACAGGCATAGGTAAGACTGGATTTTGTTTTACGTTTGCTCAAATTATTTACCAGTAATTTGTACAAGTTTTCCTGGTCATTTGCATCTTTTTAAAATGAACTGATGATCACAATTTCTGCCCATTTAAAGAAACAGGACTGCCTTTTTCTTATTAATTTGTAGAAATTCCTATATTTTAAGGATGTTAGCCTTTCCCCTTTTATGTGTTATATTTTCTCTATACTCTCCACTATATTGCTTTTGAATTTTCATTCTCATTTAAAGTATCAAATGTTCCTATTTTCTTTTATTACTTTTACATTAATTTTCTACTTTCAGATATTTATCTGTAATCATTCTTATTCTTATTTAAGTAGAAACTCAGCCCCCCCCCCTTTTTTTTGGTACCAGGGATGGAGCTCAGGACCTCCTGATTGCTAGGTAGGCACTGTGCTACTGAGCTACATTTCCAGCCCAAAGTAATGTTCTTTTATTTTTATTATTCTGGTACTAGGGATAAAACTCAGGACCCTGTACTTGCAGGGCAGGTGGGGCACCACTGAGCTAAATCCTCAGCTAATTATTTAAGGTGTGAGGTAAAGGTTTTCTTTAATTTTTCATCTTCCAAATAAATCGCCAGTTGTATCTACATCATTTATGGAGTAATTTATTTTCCCTAAAAATTTATAAAGTAACTTTTATCATATAAAGATGCCAAATATTGTATCTTTTTTCTAGTCTCTTTACCATTCCATTTATTTGTATCTATTTCTGTTACACTGATTATTCCAACATGTTTAAAATAAATTTTGAACAAATGTTAAGATAAATCCCCCTTCATTATGCTTCCTTTCCTAAGTAGTTTTGGAAATTCTTTTTTTTTTTTTCCTTGCAGAACCAGGAATCAATCTCAGGACCTTGCTCTTGCAAGGTAGGCGCAGTGCCAATGAACTAAATCCCTGGCTCTGGAAATTCTTATAACCTTTAGAATCATCTTCCAACATTACAAAAAACTTACTAAGATTATATTTGGAACTGAATGTATTTATATATTTATTATTAAGAATGAATAATTTATATATTAATTTAAGAGGGAGAGGCATTAATTTCTTTTTAACATTTTCAAGCATTTATTATATGCCATACTATTGCTACTTCACGTGAACTGTCCCATGCAGTTGCCACAGTGATGCTGAGAACAGTATTTCCGTTTCACAGATGGAGGTAATGAAGCTGAGCTAGCTTGTTGAAGGCCATGGTTAACAAGAGGTGAGAATCCAGACACTGTTGCTGTGTCCTCGGGCTGACAGCAGGGTTGTTGGGTCAGATGTGGAGGAAACAGTTCGCAAAGCTTCCTGCATATACTCACTCTCTACCCTCTGCACTTGTCTACCTGGATGCACCATTTTCTGCCCAAACAGCAGTTGTCCTTCCTACCTTTCAGTGTTCACACAGTAAGTCCCTCTAAAGAGTTGCCTGTCAGCTGTGCCTCCCAGATTCCAAGTGCACCTGGCCATGTGGAGCAGAAATCAATCCCTATGCCAGTCATGCTGAGCTTTTTCCTTGTAGGTCTGACTGCACAGACCGGCTATGGTGTCTGCTTCTGAGCCTAGTTAGGGTGCATTCAGAGACTGAGCCCTGGGAGAGCAGCAGCACCCCCTGGAGCCTTGTGCTGTGGCTGGGAACATGGCAGTGCAGCTCCTGTGATCTCTCTCTCTCTGTTCCCTGTAGGATGGCTGCTCTGCAAGGTCAACAACTGGGCCTCCTCCCAGTGCTCAGCCTGGCAGGAGGGTTAGCTTTGAGCCTGACACTATGGCATCATCACCTTCTGGGAGAGGCATATTTAGAAGGCTAAGTAAAGTCTTCTCTACAAGCTTCTCCATATTTTTTTAAGTTTCTTCATATTCAAGGTACTATTTTATACCACTAATTTTATATTTTTCTTCATGTGAGTCTCTTCTGTGGATTTTAAAGTTTGCTGTTTTTGTAAACAGGCCCTCATATTTCCACTTCCTTTTTTGAACAAAGTCTTGCTAA